TCCACAAATTATTAGAGCAGGTTTTAAAACGGAAGTGTCATACACTTGCAAAAGGGCACAGGTTTTTGCACCTCTTGGGATGCGGTACAATTCCTAGGTGGAAAAGCACTCTTTTTTTTCTTACTCTTGTCTGAAAATATTCCCTCTATAGTTCTGGATATGCACATAATTTTTATCAGTAACATCAAACATATATGGTATGTGGACAAAACATACCTCATTTATGTTCTCTACTAGATGATTGAATTGTCACTTTCAGAATATTAAGCTATTCGATGGAAACAAGAAGAATTTTACAGCAGTAATAAGCTGTACCGGATAAAATGAAATTGCATGTCATCGTTAAGATCATCAATAACTTTGGAACCATTTGACATCCTGTTCGATTAAGTTTAGTGGGTTTGTTTGGTGAGAACTAAAATTAGATTTTTAGTAGATTATGATAGAAGTTTTTGAAATGTGTGGTTGAAAAGCCGTGGAATCGATGAAAAATGTGGTCAATATTGATTGTTTGACTTTGACTTAAATTAAAATCTGATTTTAATCCGAAACAAACATGACTTTAGAAAGTGATTCTTCTCGGATTGAAATAATTTTGATGTTACCATACTTTTCTTTATAGGCTAAAGCTGTAAGGCTTTCAACCTTACCATTTACCAAATGCCTTTCAGCTAACTGCTTCTCTAAAAGCTCTTCTAAATAGCTTTTTAGAATTTTAAAAGAATAAAAGGTGTTCTGGCATAATCGGGCCTGTATCTTACGCTGCTTAAAAGTTACTATTTAAAAAGTAACTTAAAAGTTACAAAAATCATGAATTACCTGACTTTAACCTTGGCTGGAGTCCAAGACTGAGTGAACATGGTGTCGCCTCTTGAGGTAACAAACAATGAAAACTCTCTCACCGTCTCATCACCGTCATTATCCTCCAACACCCTCTTAATCGCCAACGCCCTTCTCGCCGCCACCTCCTTATCCACTGCGCCGCCGCTCTTCCTCGGCACTCTCACCACCACTCCTCCCTGTGATGAGGATTTCTCCTCCTTCGATTCACCACTGCCACCGCCTTTTTCAGCAGACGTTATATAAAACCTCCCGCGAAATGGAAGCAACAGAAGCAATACAAAAGCATGGATCATCAGCCATAGGCTCCTCAAAGCACTCAGAGATACCAGTGCATTGATTCTTCCACTAGCACCTGGAAAATACAAGATTTAAATGAATACCCATCTCTTAAAACTTGAGATTTTAAGCTAGATAGATGACGGCACCTGAGGTCAGCATCAAGGTTGTGGAAGAATCGCTTGCCTTGTTCACCATTGCTGTTTTTCTTCTTGAAGATTCAGATTCCACCAACTTTATCAATTGGATAATAATTTTGTTTTTATATACACAGTACTATTAATTGTTGATCTGGGTTTTGTTAATTTGAATTTTGCAAACCCAAGCAAATCATAAACAGAAAAGAAGAGGATTCCTTTCTTTTTCTTTTGGTTAAATTTGCAGGTACTACAACCTCAAAAAGTAGGAAGGAGTTTCCTAAAAATAGCATAAAATCACAGGAAAAACAAAAGGTTGGCCAAAAAAATTACATTTTCTATTAAAAAAAAGAAATTCAATTATAATTTTACGTTAATGGCTGAGAAATGATTTTGGATGATCTTCTTTCTCCTACAAACTTCTCTCTACAGAAAAATGACAACGCTGTGTAACCTGTGTTTCCTCTAGTTATAGGCATAATGTACTCAGCTATAAATACATGTGAAAGAAATGCGAGAAGTTGGGATCACGAGGGGTAGCCGTTAGATGAACGGTTGATATTATGCCACGTGTGGCATATGCGGCGGTTTGAGTTTTGCTTTTTTTTATTTGTTTTCTAGAATAAGTCAAAGAATGGGTCCTTCCAGGACACGTGTCTTCCCATATGGCTGGATTGCGTTATAACTGAGGGGGTCAATAATGGACACGTGTAAGATTAGGATAATTATTTTGACATAGAAACACGTGTCAGTTAATTATAGGGTCGGTAAAAATTTATAAATTTTCAGTCTCGTTTGGATCGTTGGGGGAATACCATATTATTGAGTAATGTTATTCATCCCAGTAGGAATGAAAACACAGCTTAGGTAGCTGTAAATAATAGGTGAAATTAAATGACTTATTTAATTTCACCTATCATTTAATACCACATTAGCGCCACCTAAACAGTATTTTCATCACCAGTTCGGATGAATAGCATTACTCTAAATTATTGGATTAGGCTATACCCATTTGTCCAGGTGGGTCATGCTAATTTTATTACTTTTGTTTTGTATACCTTCAATTAGCTAGGACGGTTGGGTTGACGGTGTGTGTTCATCGTAGTCTAGGATAGTCTAACAAGTGGGGCACAACCCGGCTTTGCAGTCATACGCGTGATCGATCAAACTCATTTGATGATATATCTTTGATCTTTTGTCATTTGAACAATGGCGATTCTATACAATTAATATCATTTTGAACAATTTGTGTTGTGTGCGCGTGACAACTGCCTATAGTTTGGCATAGGTCACATCGACAAGGACCGTTACATTGAATTCGGACAAAATCTCTTTGTTCATAATTTTATTAGTTTTGTTTTGTATACCTTCAATTAACGAGGACGGTTAGGTGAATGGTGTGTTCATCATAGTCTAGGATGGCCCAACAAGTGGGGCATTACCCGACTTTGCAGTCATATGCGTGATCGATCGAACTCATTTGATGATATATCTTTATCTTTTGTCATTTGAACAATGGCGATTCTATATAATTAATATCATTTTGAACAATTTGTATTGTGTGCGCGTGACAACTACCTATAGTTTGGCATAGGTCACATTGACAAGGACCATTACATTGAAATCGGACAAAATCTCCTTGTGCATATCAATTAGTGCATTTCTCGTGGCATTTCCCTACAATATTGCACTTGATCATCCTTCCTTGCATATAAATGTCTCTGAAATCTTGCCAACAAATTTGCAACGAAATGGTACCTAGAGTCAATATAGCTCCCAACATCTCATGGAAAGAATTGAATGTCATAGCCTCCAAAATGAGTCTCCTCAAACCATCAAAACTGATCTCGATGAGTTTGCCTTGAAAAGAATAAATAGTTCCTTCGGGAGTGATAACCATCTTTAGTTGACCAAACAATGCTTCTATGCGTTTCTCAATGATGCTAACTACCTCTTTAGATCTAATCGTTGCATATCCTGATTTATCTTCCCATCAAATGACATCACATAGGATCGCAATGTGGATGGCTTTATCCTATGGACAACCCCCAGGGCTAATGCTACTTGTGAACAACGATGACACTTCTGGGTGGGATTGATTGGTCCTAAAAGAGTCACCGCTTCTTTCACACGTGTCATCTCCTCTCCAACATCTTGTTGAATACTGCTTTCTTCATTGTCAACATTTGGGGTCCGTTTGATTGCAAATGTGAAAAATAAGTGGAAAGAAAATGTTTTACAAGGAATTATAATTAATTGTGTTTGATTGGTATAATTTTTCACTTGAAAAATGTTGAATGTTTGGTGTCCATTTGACTTCTTTTTTATGAAAATTGTCAATTAAAATAATAATTTTTTTATCATTGAATCTACAAGTTGCTCCAATTACCAAAAAAAAAATTACCATACATAATACCATTCGTTTGGTTTTATTTTGCATGAAAATTGTCACTATAAGTGATAATTTTTTTACTATTATGTCTATAATTTTTTTCCATTGCAAACAAAAAAAAAAAAAAAAGAGCTTGGTGGAAATTGATTTTCCACAAAACCGAGGAAAATTTGAGCATGTGAGTCAAACCAATAAAGTTTTTTCCATGAAAAAAAAAGTGTATCAAATAAGGCAAAAATGGAAGTTGAAATTTGTTTTCCATTTTCCATGGAAAATAATGACCTATCAAACAGGCCCTTAATTTACTTATTTGTGAGTTAGAATCACCGAGTCGATTTTCAAGAATCAGAGTGAGATTATTTTGGATCATCTCATAAGCTTTAGGCGGGTGGATTCACATAAGCTTGTCTTCTTTGTTGGGCCATGCATCAACTCGGTCAATATTTATCTCGATCCCACGATAGATTGTCGCAGACAGGGAGGTGTTGGAGCCCTCTAACTCGGCAATTGTTTCTTCCCTCTATTCTTCCTCTGTTTATGAATCATCCGACTTTATCATTTCTTAGTTGTTGATCTCTATTTGATTAAATCCACCAATTCATCAAACATTTTGGATACTTAATTACGTACATCTATCCAATAATAAGTCATCGTATCCAAACCGGACTTTAAAGCCTGAAAAACTGTATCGTGTGGAAGGCTTTCCATATCAACCATTTACTAGTTAAAGCAGCTGAGATAGTTCTGTAAGGGCTCATCGAGGCCCTGCATCGTATCATGGATTCTCCTTGTTGGGACGAGCTAGGAATTCCTACAGTTAAACATATGAATGAATTGATTTTTCAGGTTCGCCAACTACATATGTTGCCTGATTCAACGTTATTATACGACTTTTTAGCTCCACCGATATTGTAATATGGAAACCTCGTCTATCGAGCTCACTCCTAAGAAATTCATTGGGTGTTATCAGGGGCGGACACAGACAATTATAGTTAGGGCGGCACAATCGAACTTTTAAAGAAATTTTACAATCGAAAATTTACATCCAAAAAAATCATACCCCATGTAATTTTGAATTCGAAAATTTACATAGAATATCACTTTTTCGAATGTAAAATTTCGAAATTTTTGATATTATATTCCATATAAATTTTCTAATAAAATAATGCAAATTACATTGAGAAATTTGTTTCACAAAAATATTAAATGTTAATGAAATAATTAATTTTTAAAAAAAATGCGAGTTACGACGCCTCTTTTTAAGACGTACGTTTGAGGCATCTTTAACTATTTTTGATATTTGTTTGAACTATTGGATATGTCTATAATGTAGTCCTCGAAACAAGTTTTGAGATGATATAAGTTATTTATAAATTCAACTACCGTATGATCGTCGAAATTTTTTTAAAGTAAACATATTATCGAAATTCTTGAAATACTAATTTTAAACCGCCTACTTTGACAAGTCATAACATTTGCTACAATTGTTCATTTTGTACGCCGTTAACGACATAAAAAATGAGACTATGAACACTTCGAAATAGTATTAAGAATGCAATATTTCGATTTCATTTCACATCTTATAATAATTTCAAAAATTGAAACAAAATATAGAA